AAGTTTAGCATTAGACCAAAGGAAGAAGCTAGCATAACGAGATGAAGAGTTTGACTGTATGGTTTAATGAAACCTTTGTATTCTAATGGAAGTTGTTCTATGGTGGTTATTTTTTCGAGTTAGCACCTTTTGTATTTGCATTTTCATCTTGGTAATTTGCATCTTTACATACAACATTTGCATTGGTTTAAGCATCTTTGCATGCATCGATCATGGAAATACATAATTAATTTATGGAAGCAAGATTGGCCAAGTTAGAGGATGAAACAAGATTGGCCAAGTTATAGGATGATCTGTTGAAGCTACAACAAGATATGATCAAAACTCAAAAGTATATTATGGATTTCTCTAACACTCTTTTCCCGTATTCATCACTGAACACAAGTTAGATATGTCACATGAAACTTACAAAACTTCCCTTATTGAAAATCAGTAATAATTTGTTTCTCTAAAACCATTTTTACCAATGTAAGCTAGCTTATGATTTATTACAACCTATGCTTGAGTAAAGTTTATACCAAATACTAATAACATATACATGCCAACTAGTAAAATCGAATAAATCAGACGGATGCCATTATTGATATTGCAGGCATGTTCTCAATAGATAAGAAGCCCAACACTCCCTACTACAATCTTTTCTCTTTACCTACGTGTGAAAATCATCACACACTAAGTATACACTTAGTAATGCATAATCAATAATACAAAGTAAAACATATTGATTATATAAAATAAAGGGTTACCTACACGAATGAACACTTATGTTTGTGTTTTGTCCACTCTTGGTCACTTATTTAAAAAACATAAGATATGATCACTTTATTTTTTTATTTAATTTTGTATATTAGTTTATAAATACTTAAATTCATAATATTATATATATATTAAATTAAAAATATTTTATATTAACTTATTAAATATATATTTTTATTAACTTAAATTAAAATATTTTATTTTTTATTTTCATTTAAAAATATATATTTTATGTTAAAATTTATTTAAAAGTATGATTAAATTGAGAGAATATGTAAATGACATGGACCAAATGTGTGACTATGCCAACTCTCACGTCACATATTCTGTTAATTGTTAACAACAATTAATCAATGATGACCACATCTTAATTTAAATAAAGACAAAAGTGAACATATCTTATGTTTTTTGAAATAAGTGACCAAAAGTGGACAAAACACAAACATAAGTGATCATCCATGTAGTTAACCTTAAAATAAATTATATAATGGAAATACAAAACATATCATATGATATTATATGAGCGTATAAAATAAAATTATAACAAAGTCATTTCAAATTCAAGACACCTAAAAACCTCAAATCAAATATAAAACACTTTATGCTAAATAACATATAATAAATAGAAAGTTTATATTTCTCACTTATCTGTCATAATCTACACTTTTCAAAAATTTCTTTATGTCATAGCCCAAGGTATATAAATAAGATTGCAAGGTATGCGAGTCAGACGAGTATGCATAATTTGCACTTTTAGTGCTAGACAACGTACAAATACCATAAACACAATATCAATATCACTTTACTATGTATTGTATTCCCAATAGCACAATAGTACAAAAATCAAATGTACTATGTACTCAATGTAACTGTATACAATAATATCAAAATAATGTCTAGTATGTCCATAATGTAGCTGCTAATACTCAACCCTTATGACATGCCAACTATACCAAGGACTCTCAATGTACACACAATGGGCATTTTCATTAATTATGACTTGTCCTTATCTCATCAAATATAACAATATATTAACCATTTTATATAATAACACAATTGACAATTTATACCCTAAATATTTCATTTCCTCATAACATGAATATATCGTGAAAATATCATCAATCACTTACATTTTTGGAACTTAAATAACATGTTTATCATATGATATATAACATCTTCATCATATGATTTATATAATAATTATCATGCCAATATAATAGAGTTGGCTTGTCTTAACCCTTTAAAATAACATATAACATAAAGTTAACATAAAATGCATGATTTACCACTCATTTCCCTATTCTTGCAGCTTGCACTACCCTTAAAAATTATTATTCTATAATAATGTACACACTAGAATTCAACTAAGTTTGTTTTATTAGAAATTAGATTCTTATACGAATCTAACCATATAAATCACTATTTCTATTTCTACTTGTACAATTTATGGTGAATTTTATAATCCATCTTACATAATCTGTTTTGATTAGAATCTTGTCACATTCCATATTATATATATATAATGCAATTAAATTATTTAATTTAGTTTAGGGACCAAATTTTAAACTTTTGAAACTTTCAGCATATTTTATAAGCTATATGGAATTTAGGGACCAAATGTAATGCCCTAAATATCAAATTAGGGACTTTATTGAAAGAATTTAAAATTTAAGGATTTATTTAAATAATTGATAAAAGATGAGAATGATTTGAAATACTAGTTTAGACTAAATTGTAGCAATGGATGATTATGAGGGCATTTTGGTCCTTTAAGGGGAAAATGAATTTGAAATTCATTTTTATAAGGTATTAAGTAAAGAGGGGGAAAGGGAAAATAGGTTACCAAAAGTCATTTCCTTTTTCTTCTTCTTTCCCGTGGCTTTGTTCTCTCTTCCATAGCTCCAAAGGTAAACTTCAATTAATTAGTTTCTCCTTTCAATTATGGGTTGTTTTTGCAACCTTAAGTGATATGTAAGCTTAAGGAAGGGTTAAATAGGATTAAAACCAAGTTATGGAGGAAATATTAGGGATTTAAGAAAATGGGTTTTGATATGATATATCAAGATATGAGTGTTTATTGATGTTTGCTAGTATATTTGACTTGTCAAAGATGTAAATGAGAGATTAAAAGCATTGGATGGGTTTAAAAACAAGTTAGAAAAAGTGGTATGATTCTTAGATTGAAATGTTCTTGGGAGATATTAGATGTTTTAAGAAGTTAAATGAAGGAAAGTTAGTAGAGAGTAAAGAAGAGTTTAGTAGCATTGTTGGGTGTAAGCATAAGGGAATTTAACCAAATTTGGGAAGGAATCAGGCTGAAAAATAGAAAATATGGGTAAAGGCATCGGTACTGATAGAACATTACTGATATTATAGGCTTGAAATTAGAAGAATCAGCTGAGAAGTATCGATACTTATGCATGCAGTATCGATACCAAAAGGGGAGTATCGATACTATGAGGAAGGTATTGATAACTTTGTTTATAAAATGAAAAAATGGTATCGATACCGTTATAGAGTATCGGAACCATGGTATAGTAGTATCAATACCATGGTAAGGGTATCGATACTATTGAGCCAGACATGTGAAGATAGGCAAAAATCGTTGTAGAAAATATGATAATAGTATTCTTGAGTATTATTTAAGTATAAATGTTAGCGAATATACTAACAATTCATATCGTACATGTCTTTAATGGATGCTTGAATAGATCAAAGTCAAGGTCTAGAGTCAAGCAAAACAAAAGGCAAAGGCCAAGTACCAAAGTAATCAGCTTTGTGATTTGGATACAAAAGCTAGGCAAGCCAGGCAAGTGCATTCAATATGTACTTAAGTGTTATGATAGTTATAAATGTATGTTGATTACTATATGTATGGTGATTACCACATGGCACTATGTGTGAAAAACTAATAAATTCATAATAAGTTTACGAATTTCAGTATGGGCACTCTGTGTGCAAGAAAATAATAAATTCATAATAAGTTTATAAATTTCTCTATTGGTAGGGTGTGTGCAACATTAGCAAATTATATAAGACCGTGAAGTATTGTATTGGTACTACATGTACAAATTATAGAATTTATAATGAATTGAAAGAGTTAAGTGATATTATGAATAATACTTTTGAGTAAAAGATTTATGGCCTAGCTGTGCATTTGACAGAAATGTGTCAATTATGCCAGTTAGATGAAAGGTTAAATACCATTGAGTAAAAGATTAATGGCCTAGATGTGCATTTAACAGAAAAGTGTTAATTATGCCAGTTAGATGAAAGGTTAAATACCTTTGAGTAAAAGATTAATGGCCTAGATGTGCATTTGACAAAAATGTGTCAATTATGCTAGTTAGATAAAAGGTTAAATACCTTTGAGTAAAAGATTAATGACCTAGCTGTGCATTTGACAGAACGATGTCAATTATGCAGTTTGATGAAAGGTTAAATACCTTTGAGTAAAAGATTAATGGCCTAGTTTTGCATTTGACAAAAAGTTGTCGATTATGCAGTTAGATGAAAGGTTAAATACCTTTGAGTAAAAGATAATGACCTAGCTGTACATTTGACAAAATGGTGTCAATTATGCTAGTTAGATGAAAGGGTAAATGCCTTAAGGTAAAAGACTAAATGTTTAACAATGCAATTTGATATCAATGAAATGTATAACGGTGCAGTAAAGGCGTAAAAGGATGTCATTAATGTAATTAATGTATAATTACTAAAGAATAATGGGAAAATATAAAGAAAGAAATATATGTTGGACATACCAAAAATGTTTACGAATCTATTATGACAGAAATTGGGTTTAAATAATGACTTATATAATCCTTATGGATGATACGAAGTAGTTGAAAACCAAATAAAAAATGATGTACTTATGTATCTAGAAATGTTTCTTTACAATGCTATGTTTCACTAAATAAGTTTTTAACGTGTGTTGATTTCACGCGTAGGTAAAAATAGAGATTAGTCGAGTAAGGAGTACAGCCGTAGCAGTAGCTATCATCAATTAAGGTTGAATCATCAGTAACAATAAGACCATATTATTCATATTGAAAACTTAGTTGCCATGTAATCGACGTGACGACGTTCACGAACACATTGTCCTGCAACAACGATATTTCGAGTCGAAAACATAAGTACAATAGGGACTATGCCCTGGTTTTTTTAACGAGTTAAACATGGATCAAACCTTAGTCTTGGACCTCTTGGTCTCGCAACGAACATCGAGCTGCTGTAATCGGAGAGTGAGATGACCGTTAAGTTGGCTCCCGAGGCACCCGGTAAGCAATGGCATCCCGGCTCTAGTACCTCGTCGAACTTTCCAAATCTTTCCTTTATGGCCGCCGTAGATTGGTCCACTTGGACACAACAGAACAGGTTGCCCATCCTCTTTTCGTTTCTAACTTCTATGTTTTTGTCTGAAAACAAATGGTTCTTTGGGACTTGGGTGTACATTGGACTATAACAAGGATGTCATATAAATACTACCCATGAAAACCCATTTTCAACTAATGAAAAACAACAGATTGTGACTAGCTTAATCCCATTACTGACATCAGGATGGATAAAGAGTTATTAGAATACAACATATCCTTAAAAATTTTAAATTCTCATATACACACGAGATGAGCAAAATATGTTGCCACAGTAAGAATGGAAGCGGTGGTCACGTACACACGAGAAACGCATGAGAAGATCTAGCGCCTTGAGAGTCATATAGAGATCTTCTTTGGGTACGTCAAGGTATGGAATGCCCAACTCAATATCTTTTTCAAGGAGTTGCTCCTGATCACAAAAGATAACCTGGCGTCTTTCCCCAACATCATTCTGAAATACACTACTGGCGGGAGCACATTCCACACCTTGACATCAAATATTCCCCCAGAAGTACCCATAGACGTTCCACCACTGGCCACCCATGTCTCGCCTGTACCATAGGAAGGCCATGGCGACGCAGACGAGTTCCTCAGCTCCTCCTCCTTCTCAACCTCTAAAAGAACTCAAGAGATTCCACCAACTCTTTCACCGATGAAGATTTCACTCCAGCCCCGACGTAAGCCGAGTAAGCTCCAGTACATTCCCCCTTCTGTCAAGCAACACCAGTACCTGAAACAGCTCAAAGCCAAGCTATAGTTCCTGCACAATACACTCCTACCACACACCAACCAACACCAGCACGAGCCCCGAGCAGCAAGAGATGCATCAAGCGAATGGCAGGCCGTTTTCTTCAGCCATCACCCTTGACAATAGCAGCAGTAGATTCGGGATCATAGTCTCCCTCCTCCTAAAGGACGCAGAACAAGGGTGTTCACTCAAACCACACCACCACAATAAGATCACATTTTAGTTTTTTTATTTTCACATTTATATATAGATTCATGTAGCTTAAGTTCTCATGCATTGAGGATAATGTATCTCTCAAGTTTGGGGATGTATTGTGTCATACTTTGCCATACTTTGTTAAAAAGCAATTGATGATATTTGGTTGAAAATTTTGGTTGTCATGACATAAGCATGTTACGTTTATTATTTGGAATGGATTATGGATGCCCAATGATGAATGAATAATTTGATTGCCTATGCAGAACTATTATGGACACTGTCTAAAAAAGAGAACTAACCCTAGGCTTGATTCTTTGAAATTTACAAACACGATTGTAGGTTGTCCCTGCTTAAGGTAATCAGTAAAAAATTTTAGGAAATAACATCTTTCTTGCCTAGACATCAAAAATATTTTAAGGTTAAGGTTGAAATTCCTAGTGTTTAAAACTTGAAAAAAAAAATAAAAGAGACACTCCTCTATGCAAGGGCATAAACAAAAAAAACCCATAAGAAAATTGAGAGTTGTCGAGGCATATGAGTGAATGAAAGTAGTCACAAGATGACTCTACCCGACTAGCTTGGGGGTGGAAGGTATGCTCCCTTTGACCTAGAGTGTGGGAATGTAGGTGTGATCAGCTAACTCCCCAAAAAAAGTTGATAAATAACTAGGAGTATAAACTAAGCCTGACAAATAATTTGATGCCTTGACAAACCATAATAACTTACTTTAAGTTTTCTAATTACCTCAATGCATAGACTGATTACAATAACGCACACACAATAGCAAGGAATCCTGACTAGGGAAGGGACTTGACTAATATGACCGTCAACATGTTAAGGCCATTTTTTTGTTGAGGGCTGAAATCTCAAACCATATGATTTTCTTAACCATGATTTGCCATGACAATTTTAATTTTCTTCTAGCTATTGTACATTGCTTGAGGACAAGTAATAGCTTAAGTTTGGGGGTGTGATAACTCCATAAAAAGACTCAATTTCTAGTCTTTTCACATGAGTTATTGCTCGTCTAAACAAAGTATACACAACATCTTAGTTGCCTTTAGTTGTATTTAATCGCATTTTGGTTATATTTGCTTGTGGTGGATAAGTTTTGCTTCGGCAAGATTTATTTGGTTTAGCTAATGCTGTTGAGGAGAAAGGGTTGTATGGATTGTGTATGTCAGGGAAATTTACTTAAGAAGAACATTTTAGTCGCAACAACGAAATTCGTAAGGGCCAATGGAATAGAGAAGATAAAGAATGTGAGGAGTAGATTTATCTCACCAAGGTAAGGTTTATATGGAAAGTCTGAAGCGGGTATGACAAAATTGCATATGTCACAAGCCAACTGTACGACTTCCTTCATGTGCAATCAAGCCCTCAAAATTCTGACAGCCTCCAGCCGCCTTTCCTTTTTAGTATGGACAAGATAACAACAGTTATTTAAGGAATATCCACTTATCCCTAGGAGATTCCCCTCTACAAATATCCAGCCGTAGCCGCCAAAGAAAAAATGAGAAGATAAAGTTAGAGCTTTACTGAAAGTGTGAGCGAGCAACTGCAGTGCTTCCCCACCGTTTACCAACCGACCTTCCTTGGTGTCCTCCATAGCCAGACTGTAGCAGAGCAGTGGTCAGGTCTCGAGAGAGGCTGATCACCAAGGCAGGCGCGGTACTGATCAGAATTGTCACGACAGAGCCCCTAATTTTTAGAGTTGTTCTTCCTTTGTTTTTAATTTCTTTACATATTTGGGGTTGTATTAAACGATGATACTTGGATGACTTTTTGATAGCACCATAACTGTCTTACTTGGTGTTAAACTTTGTTTTGCCTAGATAATTATTTTTTGCTTTATGAATGATAAATTATGATTTTCCTCATGAATATTTTGTTCATTATTTGAATATTTTACCTTGACACTGTAAGAGCTTCGAGAGATAGCTTGGGGTCTTGGTGAAACATGTCTTGGCAATGTAAGAGCATCGAGAGATTGTTTTTTGTCTAGATATTGATTCTTAGATTTGAGTAAATTAAAATATATCTACGTGAGCAATGGAATATATCTGGAATAGTGATGTTCTAACTTGTCTACCTTATAGATAAGGAGCGAGTTTCATTCAACTAAAAGGGATAGATGCTAGAGTAGGATAGACAACGACTATAGTTCACGCTGAGAGGTATTGCTATAACAATAGTTTGACAAACCAAGGGTTGTAGTTAACACTGAGTAGTATTGCCATAACAACCGTCTAAAAATACTCAGCAATCCTGTCGGGCAGCTTAAGCATGTCATAATAATTCATTCTTGAGTTAGAATAATTGTTTGTCAACACAAAAGATTAACATTAGTGCTCTGTGGTAGGTCTGAATATGCGAGGTTATTTTAATCATATTTGAATCAACGTTTACCTTTGTTTTATTTTATTTTATTTCGATAATTTGCATATTTATTTTGTCTCGACCAAACTTTTTTGCAATCATACTTTATAGTATTTTCTTGTTTTATTAATAATAGTTTTCTAGTTTGACAAGACATTAGCAATTAGCTTGTGACAACTAGTTCTGGTTGTGGTGAAGCTTAAAAACTTTCAACCAATCCCTTAGGAGACAATAACTCACTTACCTTATATTACTTGATTCGATTGTGTATACTTGCACATAATTGCTTGCCTTAGAATATACATTTACAAGCGATCACCTATAATGCTCTAAACTTGATCAAAGAACGAAATGATGAGAGGGAGATATGGGTGGCAGAAAATTAGATATTTGGATATATTTAGGGTTTTTGGAATTGATACAAAAAGATAAGGTTAAGACAATAATCAAATAAGACAAGTAAAAAACAAGAATAATTAAAAGATAAGGAATTGTAATGAATAATTAAAGTTTATCTCCCTTGTAAGTGGATGCAAGGATGATTTGTGGTTGAATTTGGATGAGTAGATGCTTGTTGGAAAGATAATGGAATAAAGATTGCAACGATGAAGACTGAACTGAAATCGGATGGTCGGATTGATAGGAAAAATGATTTTAAAATTTACCCCAGTATGTATGGTGCTTGACGCAAAAATCCCTAGGTTTTATATGGTGGGCGAAAATAATGGGAGAATATGAAGATAGTTTGTGGAAGATAAAATAGTTAAATAAATGTCCGACTAAACCCTCCTAGTCACAATGAAAAGAAAAACTCGATAATACGGCTCTAACCAACCCTCCTAATCACAATGAGAAGGAAAACTAGAGTGCGAAGATCTCTCTCTCAAGAACTTGAAAAGAACTCAAAGAAAAAGAAGCTTCGAAGGCACAAAGCAATAAGCTCTTGCAAAAACGTACTCACATTGTATTATTATTCAAAGAAAAGATAATGATTATAATGGTGACAGGAGCCTTCTTTATAGGTGAGAATGAATCCTTATTGTATCATGACTAAAGGATAAAATTACATTAAAATGATAATAAATAAATAAAACTAATATGAGACCTAATTGCAATGGGGTGGGCAACATTGATGTGAGCCATTGATTTAGTGTTTAATCAAGCGATGCTGATAAAATCAGGGAGTTTGATGTAAGATGAATCTCCTTATCTTGATGAACGATCCTAATAAGTCTTCTAGAAGATGAATTGGCGGTAGTGCCTTGTGGAGCAAGGAAGAAGAAACCATGGATGAAATGATATCTAATTGGGGATTTTTTTCAATAAAAACAATTACCCTTTTACCCTTATCATAAGAAAATAAAAGGAAAACAACTTAAATAACTAAAATCTAAGGAAAAAAGTAATACATGCTTCATAATTCAACAATTGATACTTTAACAAAGGTTTTAGCAATTTAAGGAGGTTTAAATCTATTTCCAGGAATGTCTTCTTGGATTGTACATTATGGTTTCAGATTATCTTTAACTTGGGATATAGAGATCCAAGTAGCTGTGGATGGGAAATGAATGGGTTTTCCTCCTTAAGTTCTTCTATTTCCATGTGGGCTTGAATTCATTTATTGATGAATGCCTGAATTGAATTTTGGAGTTTGTCCTTTAGAAGTTTGGCCATGTTTCATATAATTAGGCCAGGTGGAAGAGTTAGCCCATCTTTTTCAGAATTGTGGTGTGTGGTGCATGTGTCAGATATGATCAAAAATAAAAAGTCTACTCTGGATTTCGTCACACTAGGCATGGCTTTTACGGGTAACCAAATAGTGGAGAGATTTTCTAAACTAAAGTTTACAAATATCCATGGGGCAATGATTCCTAAAGGTGTAATGGTGCAACCCACTCCAAAGCTGGTAATCATACACAAATATCCAAGAGGTTATTCAACTATAACAAATCATCAAAATAACCTAGGAGACTATCATGTCCCAGACCTGAATGAGGAACTTAAGGCCAAGAAAAATAGAGGACAAAATAAAGCAGTTGGAAGATAAGATAAAGATAGTGAAAGGTGAAGACGATCTCTATGGATTTCATGTTAAGGAATTTAGCTTGGTTCCAGATCTAGTTTTTCCCTCAAATTTTAAAGTCCCAGACTTTGAAAAGTTTGATGGAAATATCTGTCTTTTGACTCATATCACTATATTCTGCTGGAAGATGACAGAATATGTAGGGAATAATCGATTCTTGATGCATTGTTTTCAAGAAAGTTTGATGGACAAAACAAAAAAAAACTAATTATGACTCGTTTATTGCTAGAAGATGACAGAATATGTAGGGAAATATCGGTTTTATGTGATGGAAAAAATATTGTGTATTATTGACTCGCTTTTTATTGAAGAAAAGACTAATTATGAACATCTATCCCTCTGAGGAGATCTCTTTCACAAGGATTTTTGTGTATGAAATGATGAACGGTCTTCTTCATATATCCCTTAACAACAAAATAAAATCAGTCATTGATGTCCCTGTTTAAGCCTAAAATATTTTTCTTTGAATTTAACCTTAACCAAGTATCACTCCCCACATTAGGGGGCAAGATGAAAGAAAATCTCCTCGCATGAGTGAAGACAATCAATAATAAAGCACAATAAGGTTGATCAGATACAATGTGTTTAAAGATTCAAATGCAAGTGAGAACAAGCCAAAATACTTCAAATGAAAATGCTATGTTGTGCTCAAACGAAATTGAAGTCCAAAATTCATCAAATAGAAAAGACATAAAGCACATGTAAGGAGACTCTCGTAAAAAATGACTCCTTAAATCACAAGGTTAATCAACTTCAGTTGGTTTAAAGATCCATGTTATATCTATGAAAATATCATGAAATACTAAAGGAATTGAAAAAGAAAATGATCTTTAGGGTGAAAACCCATAAATAAGCAGTCTAGAGGGATCCAAAAGGGAAAAGAAGAAAAATATGGATGCAGATTCAAATTGAGCAAGATAAGAAGGAACACATTGATCCTACGGTGAATCACCCTTAAACACTTGTTTGGGCCTATTTATAGTTTATTTTATAACCGTGAGCCCTGACCTACATTACATGTCTAAAAAGTACTTTCTAATCATACACGAATGCCTAAGTGGAAGAGTCTATCTTTAGATTTCATTATGCCTCTTAGGGTATTCTTTTATTTGCAAAAAAAACTTCTAAAACTTTGATGCATGATAATAAAATTGATAAAAACAATAAAAAAAGGTTAAAGATGAAAAAAAACATAAAGCACATCTTGAAACCAAAAGAGGTTCGAGCTGAAAACCTAAAAAGGTTGTTTGAAAGTGAATATTGCACAATTATTGCATAAAAGGTGATCTTATAAATCTCTTGATAAATCACCTCACATACTAGAAGCATTCGCTAGGGCTTATAACTGGTGGACATTTCCAAAAGATGAACATGATGAACATGTCTGATCTAGGATCATCAGAGAACCATAAGTATTATATGTTAACCGAAGAAGTCAATTTGAAATATTTTCATTCCGTAATTAACCGACATCTCAGAATCATCAGTCTCGACGCGTGTCAAAGAAATATAACTTTGAATGATTAAAAGAGAGCATCTGATTCTTTTGATATTTATTGAACCCATGTTTTGTAATTTACTTCAATTATGATCCTAAAGAGGGAATTATTATGTTTCTTCAACAAACCTTTCACATTTTGAAAAAATAAAAGAGGAAGAAAAACATTTTCAAACAAGATAATATCACTTGGGAATGTATCTTGGAAATTGACAATTGTCTCTTAGACAAATGCTCAGAATTGAAGTCAGGGCAAAGAAAAAGAAACCTTGTGGAAGAACTTGTTGGGACAAGAAAAGTAGATTGATTTGAATTAGAAAGAAATCAATATGATGGAAAAGAATAAACACGATCAACTCATGAACAACATGAAGACTTATTACACATCATTGTTTCATTATTATTCATGAAAGCATGCACTTGCATCCTAACACATTTTACAGACACATGCATCTTTGCATCAAACATTAATCGTTACATGCATTGTATTTTCACGAAAAATTGTGATTCTTCTCTCTTGAGGATTTTATTAAGAAACTTAAAAAAATGTATTTTTTCAAGCCACGAGACTACTTTTTCTCTCTTGAGAACTTCATTAAAAAATATTCAAAAACAATCTTGTCTTTCTCAAGACTATTTCCCCTCACTCGAGGAAATATTTAAAATTTTCAAAGAATCTTGTCTTTTTCAAGACCATTTCCCCTCTCTTGATGATGTTTTTAAGAGATTCTCTTTAGAAATAAAAAATTTCTCTCTCTTAAGATCATTTATCTTAAAAAAATTATCTCACTCAATAAAGTTTCCCTTAAAATAAATTTCATCTCACTTAAGACAATTTCTCTCGAAATAAAAATTTTATATCACTTGAGGTAGTTTTCCTTAAAACAAGTTTCATCTTACTAGAGATAGTTTATCCCTAAAACAATTTTTATCTCACTTGAGGTAGTTTCCCATAAAAAAAAGTTCCGTCTCACTCGAAATAGTTTCTCTCGAAACAAAAATTTTATCTCACTCGAGATAAATTTCATGAAAACAAGTCTCACTCGAGACAGTTTTTCTCAAAACAAAAATTTTATCTCACTTGAGATATTTTCTCTTGAAAATTTTTTGATGCAGTTTCCCTTTAAAAAATTGTATCTCACTTGAGATTTTTTCTCTTGAAATTCTTTGTCTTAATCGAGATAGATTTTCAAAATGACTTAACTCACAAAAGGGAGTCATCCAAAATTCGACTTAACTCGCAATGGAGGATTCGTCCATAATTTATCTCAACTCGCAACGAGGAGTTAATTGTTTATATTTTAGGCATGCCTAAGAGCATTGCATTCATGAATTTACACGCATGTTTATTTTTCATATTTTTTTGAGTCAAACTATAACTTCACGACAAATTATATTAGACTCAAAGAACACCACAAATCAGACTTAACTCATAATGGATGAGTCATCCACAAATCAAATGTAACTCGTAAGGGAGGAGTCATCCACAACTTGATTTAACTCATAAAGGATGAGTCAACTTCAACTTCAACTTCACTTCCTCGGGCATAGGAACCAATCACTTAAATTAACTTTAACATTCACATATACACTAACCAATGATTATGTTGACTTTTGCAGATTTAACTACTTTGGTATTGAGATGAAACAGACCAAGATTTCAAAACTCATTTAATTGAAAATGTAGAAGATGAAGACATGCCCTTGAAATGGACTTTTAAAAAATAAATCATCCTTGCAAAGGCACAAATGAAATGTCAAATCATCCAAAGGTGACCAGATCTCCTCAACGAGAAGGAGCAATATTGTCCTCAGATTTGACATTCTCAAAAGAATAAATTTTATCTCACTTGACATAATTTTGTTTGAAATAAAATTTCATCTCACTTGAGACAATTTTCCTTAAAACAAATTTTTATCTCATATGAGATAGTTTCTCTTGAAATGAATTTCATATTAATCGATACAGTTTCCCTGAAAAATTGTCTTACTCGAGACAATTTCCCTTGAAACAAATTTTTGTCTCTCTCAAGACATTTTATATTAAAGACCTCAATTTCACTATAGTTTCTCTCGAAATGTGAATTTTTTATAATATTTCACTTGAAGCACAAGCTTTCTCTCCCTTGAGATGCGAAGTTTAATTTCAATCTCCCTTGAGATGCGAAGTTTAATTTCAATCTCGCATGAGATAACACCATATTTTAAAATAGATTAGAACCAGATGAAAATTGGTTGTCTTTTTGTCTTTGTCCTATTTTGGTAACACGCAATAGGCAAAGAGGGACAATTGTAAGCACTCATTTTCGTCTGGAATCCATTTCTTTTTTATTCTTATTGTAATAGTATTATTTATTATTGTTACTAATAGTTATTCCTAATATTATATTTATTTCTTTATTATTATCTTTTTTTATTAATATTTATTATTTATATTATTTACTTTTATATATGATTAGTAGTAGTACTTGTTATTTATTATTTATCATTATTACTTATTTAGTTTTTAATTGCTATTATTATATATATATAGACTTATTAGCTATAATAAATGGATTTTATTGATCCATATCTATTATACAGGCCCTTACATTCTTTAACCCACAATTTTAACATATCAACCTAAAACACTAGTGAAGTAAGCTCCAACATCCACCAAGAGGATTTTCAGCTAGGCGTGTGTAAGTCATGCGTGACTATTGAACTTCTCCATGTGTCGATTGATAGCCTTCCTCTCAAGAGAATCCAAATGAAGAAATCATCCTTATTTGAAAAGAATATTATTATTTCCCAAAATATAGTAGATTTGAATCAATCCAAAACAGAAAATAATCTCTCTTTTATGAAGAGAATTTTTTTAATCACTAAAAAGAGAAAAAAAAAAGATTCTTTTTGAAGAAGATAAATAGTCATTCTTGAAAAACAAAAAAAAAGAAAGTTTAGAACGGTTGGTGGTGAGAATCGAGAGAAATCGAAAAAAAAAATACAAAAAGAAGGGGAGATAAGACTCTCTTCTTGGCCGAAGTGGATTCCATGGTGATTGGAGTCGTTGTTAATTAATTCAAACAGTGAGAAATTTCATTAAAGTGAGGCAAGCAATATACTTTGAAACTGAGAAGATCCAACGACAGACAACGATAGATCTAAGTGGAAAAGAACCAAATGGTCGATGACCTTAATAGTGAATTTGGAGACTATTTCTCACAAAGAAACATATCAAATTTGTTTCTCAACGTTGAAATGAGACTCCCCTGAAATTTAGAGTCGAACGACGATCAATGGATGGCAACAGACGACGATCGTCGGAGATGAAAGACGATGGAAATTCTAGAAAGAAGTGAAAGCCCTTCTCTCTAAAACAATATTGGAGCATGAAGAACTAAATGAACCAAAAGCAGTTTTTTGGCTTTCATCCACGCATGTTATTAAGATATCAGGGGTAAATTATCTCCTCAGTCCTTCTAGGTTTGGCCATGTTTCATTTGGTAAATAATCTTTCAATCATTGTAATTTGGCCAATGAGTTTTACTTTAATGTGATTTGGTTAATATTTGTTTTTAATTACTTTATTTCTTTATAATTTTGTCTTTAAATTTTATTTCTTTATATTTTAGTGCTTATTGTTAATCAGTACTTTAATTTACCAACATTTTGTGTAGCTTATTATTAGTTGTATGGGATTTTTAATTAAATATGTGTATAATAATCTCATTTGCATCCCTCGATACTTTTTCGTAGTTAATTAAAAAAGGTCATATTTATTTATTCTAATTATCGGAGAGGGTTGTCATAATCTAACTAGTAGATTGATTCTGATAAATTAAAATGAATAAATATCATCCAATGAAACCAATTAAAATGATAACACTCTAAAATTAATCAGGATGATAGAAAGAAAATTGTTCATATATTTAAATTTAACGAGGATAGACCACTCGACCCTATTCGATAGTTTAGTCTCAGTATTTATAAATATTTGAACATCCTCTATCTACCTTAAAGGCTTGGTAATTTTTATTAATAAAATATTTGTTTGTTGCACAATCTCTATGTGAATAAATATAATGTTTAACCATACAATGATAATATTTTTTATTTCTTTCCGAGAATGGGAAAATCATCATTCTACTATATATTAGATGGTATTTCTTCTCAACTCAAAATGGCGAAGTATTGTCAATTTACCTTAAACTTTTTTAGAAGAAATTCACTCCTTTAGTTAGAAAAGAGGGGACGATATTCTACCTTATATTAGATGGCTAGCACTCTAATTAAATGCAACGAATTATTAATTTTTCTCTCTCGAGTTTTAATCGATTAAATAACATTGTATTTATTCACTTAAAAATGGATCCTTAGATAAATTAAATTTGAATTCTTAATTTTTCATTACAAAGACTATAATTAATTGACTATGTATTAATTTCTGGGCGTTGTGCGGGTGTTAATTCTCCCTTACACGTAATCAACTTATGAACTCATTTTTCTGAAAATCATACCTAAAAGTTTTCTAATAATTTTTAAAATTTAATTTAATTACAAATTTTTTTAAGTGATCTAATAACACTCTAAATAAATATTGGTGGTACTCTCTTAAACCATATTTTTCAGTTTTTAAAAGAAATATCAATTTTAGTCAAAAACGAACCTTAAAGACATATCTTTATTATTTTGAGTTAAACTTATCTCTCAACTTTTTAGAATTGTTAAAAATTGACACTTAACATCATCTTACATTTTTTATTAAAATTAAAGAAGAATATAAAAAACCCTAGATGTCTTCTTCCCAAGAACCAACGACCGATCACGAAGAACCAAAGATGCAATGCCAACGAGACAAAGTATCATTGAACCCTTCTTCCCTCCTCCTGCCCGACGTTCAACTCAACATGGACTGCTGACATCCCGCCTACTACCAATTCAGCGATCTCGTATTGCGACATGGTCCTTGAAGATTTGATGCCCCTTGAAGAGGATGACATTGATTTGTTCGAAGATGATGTCGAGATCAGTGAAACTGACGGCATCCCTTTCATCAACTTCTCCGATCGGGTTTGCAACCTAGCCCTTGAAAGCATAGATTCCAATCTAGTTGTCAAAATCCTTGGCGACTGGATTGGGTATAACACTCTCCAAAATTGAATACTTGCCCTTTCGAAGCCTACGCACCCCCATCAAATTAATTGATATCGAAAATGACTATTTTTTAGTCAAATTCACAATGACGAGTGACTATCTCATGGTGCTTTCGAATGGACCTTGGATTATTTTTAGCCATTACCTCACGGTCAAACCATGGACTGATGATTTTTCTACCTCACAGTTCTACCCTAGACGGTTATGGCTTGGTCCGTCTCCCCGGTCTCGTGATCACTTGGTATTAGAGAAGCTTGATATAGGCGATTGGTGAGCGGCTTGTCTCCATCCTTAAGATTGATTACCAAATTGATAATGGGCATCGGGGTCGCTTCTCCACATGGCATTACCCTGAATTTGAAGAAATCGCTAATCTCAAAATTTAAAATCAATGGTCTTACCCAACTTGTTGAGTATGAATCACTCCCCGTTGCATCTATGGCCACCAATCTGAGTCCTATCCTATATTAACGAAAATAAAAGTAACATTGGGCGACCCAATACTGCTCCCCCCGCTAAGGGAAAAGACACTTTCACTCTTCGCAAGTCCCCTACTGTTTTTTTGGGTCAAAGAACATGAACATTACCTCTAATCACCTCTCCTCTAAGACTACTAGTGTTGTCAGTGCTACCTCAAGAAGTAATATACAACCTACTGTTCTGAATCCCTCAACACATTGTGGCTATTGAAATTTCTCCTGATGCTAATCCTGTAGTTCCTGGCCTTCCTCAACCTCTGCCCCCTCCAACGGCCAGACACTTCACATGACTCCCAAGGTACTGCCATACATGGAAAAATTAATGAGCAGTTGGCTCAAAACGAGCAGGGTAATACTACCCCCATCGGTATAGATGGCCCT